TCAGAGTTCAGGTCAGGTTAAAAAAAAATTAATCAGACTCTAAAAGAAACTATTTCAAAATTAGGATTGGAAACTGGTGAAAACTGGGTGAGTCTCCTTCCTTTTGCTTTATTGGGAGCCCTCTGTACTCCCTATGTACACGGGATCACTCCCTTTATATCTATGTATGGTCGGGCACCTCCCTTAATCCCCAAACTGGGGGAGGAAATCCTGACATCCATTTCTAATCAGGACCTTGTTAAGTCCTTACAGGCTCTGCAGTCTATGCTATAGGCTACACACTCCCTCATCTGCTATCAATATCCAAGACCAGGACAACTTGACAGTCCACTGGCTGCAGAACCTGGCTCTCTGGTGTGGATAAAAAAGTGGGATCCATTCACATTAGGACCTTGCTTGGTAGGACCTTATCCTGTCATCCTAAGCATGCCCACCTCAGTCAAGGTAGCTAAAAAGAGAATTGGATTCATCATACCTACATTAAGCAAGCTACAGTGGACTATGACTCAACAAGATGGTCAATCAAATTTTAGTATATGTGCTACCGAAGCAAGCACAAGATGGTCAATCAAAAAGATGCCCGATCCACTCAAGGTCAAGTTAGTACACTAGGATATGGGCCTGGCCTAACTCTTTTTTCAGTTCTTATCTTGTATTATGTATTACCTGCATTTCATGTACTATCAGCCATACCCACTGTACCTGTAATTAATTCCCATGATAACATGGATAAAGATGACAAATACTCCTAATTTGTCAACTTTCTGTGTAAAACAAACCTTAGATCTACAATATGTGCTGAGTTCATGCCTAAGACCAGTGTACAAGCCTGTAAAAGATACTAAAAATTTAACCTTTTTAAAACACATTTCTGAACCTGCTTCATATTATGGCTTGGCTAACTGGGGACCTGTCTCATGTGATGTACCACCTGGGGCCCTGCATTTTATCACCCCAAAGACTGTAGTTGCTTAAAATAAAACTCGTATACAATTAAATTGTACTTTAAAAATTTCTCACAAATTGTCAGGATTTCTAAATTGTTCTGGTCTTATAAAGTATCCACATATAAATGGTAATGTCTTATTACCCACTAAATGGTTTTTCACATACAATGGGCATACTTTTAACTATATTCCAGCTTATCTAGATAGGGCCTCCTGTTGTTTAAACAAGCTGACTGTAACTCTTCCATCTCAAGATGATTTGATGCTGCACCATCCAAAACCATCATTATCCCACAAAAGAGAAAAGTTTCTAACATCCCTCTTCCTCCAGACCATAATGATAAAGTCACTTTCTTGTCTGACACAGAAACCTATGTTATGATACTCAATCTTGTTAAAAACCTATACTTTGGTAAAATAGTAAAAAAAAAAAAAAAGTGCTATTTTAATCTATTGGATAACAGTCATCAGATACAGAATCAAGTAAACAAACTAAAACAGTTAGCTCAAGATATCCATCAAGGTAATGACTAAAGGTTATTCTTAATATCCCCCTGGATAAATAATCTGATAACTGCTCTGATTAGGCCTGTGATCACATTTCTTCTGGTCCTGCTCATTGGACCTTGTATAATATAAACTGTTTGACTACCTATATACAACAAAAAATTCAGATGAGCCTGTCATTCTGGTTTTCTGAATATGGACTGCCTGTCATGAAATGACAGTTGCTGCTATGATGTCTCTCAGGTAGATGGTTGTTCAAGAAGAAGAGGGTAGTGAATGAAAGCAAGAGACAGGAAAAGGAATAATGTGGGACTGTCTTGCTTCAAGGTTGTATATGATGAGATTTTTGGACTTATGTGTAAACATAAGAAGTATATAATTCTTTATGCCTATTCTTAAAATATATTCTAATTT